GAAATTGGAAAAAAAGTGAATTGAATTTACCAAAAAAATAGATTTTCGTTAATAACTCGAAAAGTAATAAACTTTTTTATGATTTTATTGCTTAATCAGAAGCACGCAAGCGTAGCGCAACTTTGTATGTAACAAAAGTTACGTAATGTTCGTTACGTAACAGAAAAACGACGTTTTTTTGTTAATAACTCGACAACCTTTTAGGATAATTACATCATCGACCACTCTTATGAAAGCTGAATGTCTCACCTATCCAACGAGTCTACTGTCATCTTCGTACTGTCATCGGGTCGCCTGCTATGAGCTGTCTAAACTGTTGGTAGTAGGAGGAGAGCAGAAGCAGCAAAAGGTAGAAGAAGAATGTTACGTCTCCTTATTTAACTTGATAATTAGATTTTCATATAAATTTTCGTTTTATTTTTCGAACAACATAGAAAAAATTATTATATATTTATATATATAAGTTATGTACAAACAAAACTGAAATGATGAAAAGTTTAGTTTAACATCCAGATTGGAGGGTGAGCATCGCGATGCATTTGCTAATGTTAGAGCACGCGTTCATGTTGGAGCTGACTCCTAGTTGGTAGATCCTGGTGAGGATGGGTTTGGCGTGTTCCTGCATCACCATAATGAGACTGGGCAACTTATCGATGACTCCTTTGACGACGTCCGCGTCGCGACTGTTGAGCGCCGAAAGAATCGCCGGCAAAGCCTTCGCACTGAACTTGGGGTTCTGCTTGAGCAGCTTGAGAATGAGCGCCGTCACGAGGGTGCGCACTTGCTCGTTTCGCGTCGTTATGGCGCTGAAGAGATGTTGAGCTATGTCCTCGAGCAGCTGAGGTCTTTTCGATGTGAGATGGTCGATCTCCTGGAGAGCGTTTAAAGGATCGGTTGATTGAAGAGACACGACGAGCGAATTCCAATTGGGTGGAAGCGGGATCTTGGTTGGAGGTGCGGGCGCCCCGACGAACAGGTCCGACGATACGCCGGACTGGAAGTCTTGCGTCGGCATGGAAACGCTCGACAGAAGAGGCGCGACGACCGGGTGACTCAATTCGAGATCGCTGCAAAAAAAATGAAACGAATTCAATTGTTAATTAGGTTAATTGGGGTTAATGTAATACCACTACTAGTACTCACTTTAGGGTTCCACCGTGCTGCTGGAGATAACGCAGAGACGTATGCACGTCGTTGACCATCCAGTTCTGCAGGAATCCGACGATACGTGAGACGATCGGTTCCATGTCTTTGGCATGTCCGTGGAAACGGAAGAGCGTAAAGTACGAGTCCATGATGGAGCAGAGGGTTTTCGATTCGCGGAAGACCATCGGCTGCAGCAGTTCGAGCAGACCGAGCACCTGATTGAAGAGGACCAGATGTCCGCGATTCCTCATGACGTTCCAATCGTACAAGCTGCGACCTCGCAGACTTCCTGCCAGCATCGGCAACTGTCTCAGCACCAGGTCCGGATGAGTTGCGGCCAACTTTCGCGCGGCCAGCTCGAGCGGATGGCTTCTCCTCAGCCAATCCTTCAACCTGGTGGTCGCCGTCAGGGCGCTCAAAATCGTGTGCGAGATGACGTCCATCGTGCTGTGCGAATGCTGCGCGAACGAGAACTGTTCGAGTTGGCGGGCGTTCAGGTGCTTTCCGATGCTCGGACAGTTCATGTATATCATCACCAGAAGTTCCTGAGCATTGCTGGAATCAGTTTCGGTGGCGTTGGCGGAGACGGTTGCGGTCTCCACCAGCTTCGAGACCAATTGCTCGCTGCAACTGGGCACGTTCTTGACGATCAATCCCAACCGTTTCTCCATCACCACGTCCCTGCTCTCTTCCTGCTCCTGCTCCTCCTCCTTCTTCTTCGTCTCCTCCAAGATGTAATCCACCAAGATCAACACCTTCTCCACATCGAAATGCAGCACGTCCTCTGGTTTGTGGTGTTTCGGTATGGCCTTGTCGCGACCCTGCCACAGCCTGGGGCTCTGCGTCAACGCGGTGAGAAAGTCGAGAACCGATGTCGCGCAATGATCGTGTATTCTCTCCTGTCGCAGCAGATAATCGACGATCGTATTCAGCGTCTTCCAACTCGCCCTCTGCAGCACGATGGAAATCAGCAGAGGTCTAAAGGGTAGCTGTCTCCTCGAAAACAGAAGCTCCATCTACAAAACAACATGATCATCATCATCTTCGTCGTCATCATCATCATCTTACCTGTATCTTTTTGCTCGGCGAATTCGCAATCTCGAGCTCAACGGCAGCCAACCAATCGACGACCAGTCCCGTCTTCTCAGCGTCCGCATTCGGGTCCATCAACATCCTTCCGAGTCTTTCCCCGAGATTCTCCATCCTCCTGGCTGCCAGCACCTGATCGGATCTCTTCGCCGTGATCATCTTGCAGGTGGTCAACACCTGCAGAGGATCCAAAGGTGCGCTGGTGCTGACCGCTGCCGTCGCCGCATCCACGTCCATTTTCGATTCGTTTCTGGCCAACTTCAGGTACTGCTTGAGGACGGGCTCGATGAGCGGATGGCGACGATCCGATGGAAGTGCGGAGAGAATTCGTTCGGCCAACTGCACAGCAGCTCTGGACAGATTCCTCTTGGTGAAGACCAAACGGAAGAGCATCGATGCGTAATTGGTTTTCTGCAGCAAGAAATTGACGACCACTCCGATATGATGGTTACAAATGAAGTCGATCACGAGCTTGGGGACGCTCGCGTTTGTCGTCATTTGCTGCAACAATAATAACAATAGTATATTAGAAATGAATGAATTGTATGTTTTCACTCTACTCTACTCTACCTTGCATATGTAACCGATCTCTTTGGACACCGGAGTCGCGTAATTAACGTCCAAGATTTTGTTCAAGTAGTCGACGAGTTCGGCGTGATTGAATTCGGTGCCGGTCGCTTTGTTCAGAGCGGACTTTAACGATCTGCGTTGCTCCAGCTCAAAGTGCGAATCGTCGTCTTGGACGGGCGGAATTTGCATCTCCAAAGCTTTGACGAAGACGTTACCGCCGATCGCTCCGCGTCTATTCTGCACGTCGACCAGCTGAATCATGTAGTTCTTGTCGAGCACAGAGTCGACGACCAGTTTGGGATCGGTGACGGTGACCGTGTCCAACACCTGCAGCAGTTTGCTGATCGAGACGACGGGGATGCCGAAAGACTGAATGAAGAGCACCAACTGCGACGCCTCCAGTTTATCGACGGCTGCGTCCAGCAGTCTCGGAACGTTCGAACGTATCATTCGCAGCTTGAGCCAATCCGGTACGAGGAGCGCCTCCTCGGAGGTGTCCACCAAGTACGCTTTAGGTTGACGTTCTTCGGAGATGGGAAACCACATGTCGAGGACGCAATCGAACGGTTCGAAATTTTCGACGGGGCCGTAACTCAACAGGATGATGGACGCGTGTACGATGAGGATCTGCAGGGTGCACTTGTCGCCGTCCGGCCATCTCACGACGACCTGATCCTGCGACTCGGACCACGGGAAGGAATCACCACCGTTCGGTTCGCGGGCCTTCTGGAAGTACACCCAGAAGATGGAGAGGAGCGCTTTAAGAGTGCTCATCTCCTCGTCACGATCTCTGCCAGGCAGAATGTAGCTGGTGATGCTGTTGCGTTCGACTATTAACGAGGCCAGATCGAAGATCAGTTCGAGCAGTTCGTTAACGGAATCCTCGAGTCCGTGCGTCGATAGGAACCCGATGTAATTGGCAACGTGCACCGGGTTCGTCTCTATGAGGATGGCCTGTCGAAGAAATTGAACTATAAGTTGCCTGACCGTCTGCAGATGCGGGAACTGATGGATGTAATGGGTCAGCCACAAGGTGTTGTCGTTCAGATGGTTGACGTGGTGCAGAACGTCGCTCTCCTCTGGCGCCAAGACGAGCGTCAAACCTTTGATAGCAGGAGCCCGATTCGACGCCTGCAGCGATGTCAATCTACGCAGAAGATACTCGAGGACTTCGCACGCCATCTGCGGTTCGGAACCGTTGACGACGGTGCGCAGATGCGTGAGAAGTTGCGTATGCTTGACGAGCTTCTCCGTGGGTCCGGTGGAAAGCAGATACTCGCACAAACATTGGACAGGGAGATGTGCGAGTGCACCCTCCGAACTGTGCACCAGCTCCGCCAGCCACGGCATGTGACAGGTGGTGCTTCCCTGGCGAGACATGATGTCCAGAAGGAAATCGGGATGTCTGGAACGGCACAGCAAATGTCCCATTCGATGACTGCTGTTCAGAGCTTGCAATTGATCCAAGATGGGTTTCGGTGGTCTCCTCGCCTCCTCCAACGGTCTCAGCTCGACCAGTTGCGGAAGCAGCAGACTGGTTTGCTCGTTGATTTCAATCTTCGTGCTCGCCGCTGCCAAATGGGATTCAAACACGAGAATGGTTTGCTTCTCCAGCGCCAACGTTTGCTGTTCCTTCAGCGCGAATTCGTCGTCGCCGAGGACTATCGTCGGCGGTGGATACGAGAAGTGATTGGTGATGCACATCTCCATGAACATCCGCAGCGTCGGATACTTTTCCCAGGCGGAACGGCCGAAACTCTCCGGATTGTGAGCGGCCAAGATGAGGAGGATCAGCCAGGACCTCCAGTAGTGAGCGGAGATCGCCAGTTTCGGCGCCGTGTAACCGACGGGCAGGCAGATGTTCTCTGGGTAATTGTAGCTGCACAAGTTGAAAAAGAAATCGATGATTTCCAGCTTGTCCATCTGCAGCGGCGGCAGCAGATCGGGCGCCAAGTTCGCGGCGCGCTTCACCAGCTGATCGACGATTTCGATGGTGTCGTTGGGACTGACGTTATTATCTTTGGACAAGCCGATCAGAAGCAACCTGACGAGCGTCGCCTGCAGCAGCGGCACCTCACTGACCAACCTCAAGAACAGGATACGCTCGTTCTCCCCGGGCCACGAATCCACTTTCACGTACTGCTCCGGCTGCTCCAAGAACAACACCTTCAGCAGAACGTGCTGGAAATCGGGTGATCGGAACGTCCTCGATGGCCAATCGTGCAGCCAAGTGACCGCCTCCCTCTGAATGTTGCTCACTTGGGCTTGGAAGCTCTGCAGCACCGCAACATCCCTTTTGCTCTGCATCGAGGCGTCTCTCACCTGCGGCGTGACGCACAGCAGCATGCACATGCACACTAGATCCGCCAGAGAGAGGAAGATCCTATCCTTCAATTCGGATTCCCTTATGCTTGCAATCGTATCCTTGCGCTCCCTCAGCAGCGAGTGCACGACGCTCAGCAAGTTGAAATCGTTGCGCAGCACTCGGTTAATCTCCTTCAGCAATCCCCGCAGTGATCTCAGGTAATCTTCTTTACTGAGCAGCAACTCGAAGCAGATGGACGCGAAAGCATCGGCGCTCGCCTCCGGCGACACCTGAAACATCGCACCGACGACGAACAGATTGTTGGTGTTCCTCGCGTTCGACAGTTCGTTGTAGATGGTGTACTTGAGGAGCGGAAACAGATTGTCGGGGAACGACAGCACCATCTCCTTCAGGCAGTTGTTGAAGAAGTTGATCATCTGCTTGTTCTTCAGACGCAGCTTGGTCAACTGCACGACGACCTCCAAATCGCGTTGCGTGTTTGCCGAGCAGTTGTAGCATAAATGTGCGAGAAGTTCTTGCGCCGCCTTCATCAGCTTGTGATTGTGCAGCCAGGTCTCGATGCGCGCAACCGCTATGATCCGGATCTCGACCAGGCCACACGCTGTACTCAAGAAGCGAACGAAGTTCTTCGATATCGTCTCCGGTTGCTGACGACGCGCCAACTGCTCCTGGATAGCCTCCAGCACGATCTTTTCCACCATCTCTTGTGTCTGCGTGTATCGTGGATACGTGCGCACGTTCCAATTCTCCACGATCATTCGATGCTCGTTCGCAGCTGCAATTATCGACGATTAAAAATGAATATTGCAATGTATTGTATTAGTATTGTACCTTCGTCATCGTCGTTTGCGTTAATCGTCAAAGGACTTCCAGTGTCGCGTCCGGGCGCCGGAACCCACGATTCGGTGGTATTCAAGAGAGATCTAGGAGGTAGCTTAGTATTGAAAGCTGTCACGATGTTGTCTACAAACGGTTTGCAATAGGGATTGTCGATCCAAATACGTTCAGATACAGCATCCTCCACGTAAAACTGCAATTACATACATACATATTGAAATACAATATACAATTCGACTATGATTATTACCTTTAAAAACACCTCCGGCCAATTGCTGACCTCGCCGAACGAATAGATCAACAGGTTTATGTATATAACCTGACTGTACATGTTCGTCTTATTGGAATTCTTAACGACGACTCCTCCACCGCTGGCAGTCACCCCGGATACGCTTCCACCACCACCACCGCCAACGACACCGCCCACTCCACCACCTACCACGCCCCCAACGGATGCGCCCACTTCCCTCCTGAACGACGACATGAGCGCCGCGACGATGTGCTCGTTCACAAACAAACTCGGTTTCATTTGGCACAGAAAGATCAAACTGTAGTACGTCATTTTGCACGGTTTGAACCGCTGCGATCTCAGCACTCTGATCGCAGAAAGAACTAACCCCACCTGCACAATTCAACAAAGAACACACATTCATCGTTGTTCACTCCAAAAAAAATCAAATCACTTACAGCACGATCAGTGTTATTGTTTTTGATTGCCTCCAGTATACTAGTCAACAATTCAGCCGGCTCACAATCGATCACCATAGTCTCCCAATGCTCCAGTGCAGTGCCACCGCTTGCAGACAAGCTCCTCTCCAACGGCATCGATGATGAGCTCTGCACTGATTGCGGTCTCAAACTTGACGACATCACTTTCAACTTTTTGCTGCTCGGTATAATACTGCTTGAACTTGCCTCTCTCTTTCGTTCCGGGATAACTGCAAAAAACATAAACAAATGATTAAGCTGGTTGCAATCGATTGCAATTGAATCGACTCACCTTTGCTGGAGCTCGAAGACATGTGAGAGCTGGACGACGATGATTTGGGTAAGATCGGGACGACGTTCCTCTTGCTGTCCGCATCTCTGCTGGCCGAGGGCTTCGCCCCCAAAGCGATGAACATGTCCGGGGGTTGCTGTGCAATCTTCCCCTTTGACCCTCTGTTCTGCGATGGTTTATTCCGATCCATCTTTACCACACTGAGATGTCAACAACAACTTCACTAAACTTTACTTCACCACTATGAACTAACACTGTTTACAAACAGACCGACGAATGCAACTGCGAACCCATGTTAACTCGGCGACGAACAAAAACGAACTGAAATAAATGACAGCAGCGAGCCAATGTTACCAAACGTTCCCTTCGTCAGACCAAAACAGCTTATTTTTGGTGAAAAAAAAGGGGGGGGAATCAGAATATTTTAAGATTTCTCCAACAGATGGC